GGGGTCAAATTGAGATTAAAATTAAGTTAAGGATGAAATTGGAGCATATTAAAGTTTGCTAAAAAAAATCAAAATTGAAATTTTGTGGTCAAAATTGGATTTTTGTAGACAAAATTGATTAAATTGGGGTTACAATTAAGAATTGGGTATAAATAGTTGAGGGTAATATTGGCATATACATGAATGTTTCATTTATTTATAATAAATATTAAAGGATGAGCTTATTGGTAAAAGAGATATAGTCCCTAAACCTAAAATAATAAACATAGGGAAAATTACATTTTTCGTTCTCATATTTTACCTACTTTTTCAAAACTGTCCCTAAATAATTTGGAGTTACAATAGTAGTCCTTAATCATGCCATTTTTTAACAGAATTGGTCCGCCGTTAGTTTTTGCAGTTAAGTTGGATGGAAAATGACATGTGCCTCTCACATGTCTTCAATTTACAACATTACATGAAAATGGACTTTTAACAATACGCATTGCGTCTTGTTAAAACATATTTTTTTATAATTATTATTTTTAATTAAAATTTAATATAAAATCGAAATCACGTAAATTCCAAAAAAATCAACTCGTTCGGAAATATTGTTTACAAAATCAAAATATAGTTTAAAATTTAAAATATTGTTCCAAAATCGGCATTTTTGGAATTCAATTAAAATTTATAGTTTCAACCAAAATAAAAAAACCCGATAGGAATTGGGGAATTAGAAATCTCCATTTTTCACCTCTAGTCAATTCCCAAAATCCCAATTGTGAGACAGTATGTTGAGTTTTAAATCATTCAATATGGGTGAAAATTGGAAAGGAGTTTTCTTATGCTGCCTAATTTGATCGATTTTTTATTTTATTTTAAAATAATATTTTCATTCAATTTCAAAAAATTCCGATTTTAAAACACAATACTAGTTTTTTAGACAATATTATGATTTTTTAAACAATATTTCTGAATTTACTTTGAAAAACAATTGAGTTTTAGATTATTAAATAAGGGTGAAAATTGGAACGAAGTTTTCGTACTCCTCCTATTACGATCAGATTTTTATTTTATTTAAAACAATAATTTTCATTTGGATTCAAGAAATCCCGGTTTTAAAACATTATATTGTTATTTTAGACAATACTTCTAAAAATATTTTGAAACAATTTATCGAGTTTTACATTGGTAAATTAGGGTGAAAATTGAAATGGAGGTTTCTTATCCCACCTATTCGGATCGAATTTTTATTTTATTTTCAAACAATGTTTTCATTGGAATTCCGAAAATCTTGATTTTGAAAGCAATATTTCCTTTTTGGGCTAAATAGACTTTGCACCCCTGAAGTATAGCTCATGTAACACTTACCCCTTAAAGTATCATTTGTAACACTTACCCCCTCAACATCAATTATTTTATATTTTAAAATTTAAAAAAATAATAAACATAAGAATCTAATAATTAACGGTTCATAGAAAATTGAAAAGTAACTACAATTAATTATTGAAAAAAAAAATTAAAAAATAATATATATTGGGTAATAATGAGTGAAAATATATTTAAAAAATTAATAAACTAAAATAAATTGAAATAATTAAGATTTCTATTAGTTATGTATTGATTTCTTAAAATTTATCGATAAGAGTATTTTTTATTAATTGGTCCAACAACAATTAGATGTTATTTATTAAAAAAATATCCAACGCAAGATAATATTTTTTAATTTTAAAATATTGTATTTTTCAACAGATATTTTTAGTTGTATAATTTAATTATTCTTTTTAGTTATTCCTTTCAATAAAATATTTTTTTAAGGTATTAAAATTTAAAATGCAAATTAAATTGTGCTTGAGGGAGTAAGTGTTACAAATGATACTTTAAGGGGGTAAGTGTTACTGAGGATATACTTTAGGGGTGCAAACTGTATTTAACCCTTCCTTTTTTTAAAACAATATTTCAATTGTTTAAAGAATATTTCTCAAAATATTTTAAAACAATATATATCGATTTTGTTTATTTGGAATTTATATAATTTGAATTTCAATCAAGTTTTAATTATGAAAAATCTGTTTTTCATGTAGTGTTGTAAATTGAAGGCATGTGAGAGGCACATGTCATTTTCCATCCAACTTAACTGCAAAAATTAACGGCGGACCAATACTGTCAAAAAATGGCATGATTAAGGACTACTATTGTAACTCCAAAATATTTAGAGACAATTTTGAAAAAGTGAGTAAAGTATAAGGACGATAAATGTAATTTTCCCAATAAACATATTTGGTTGGGACTTATTCACAAAAACCCTTTCTTTTAAACATAAAGTGGGATATATATATATGGTGTTTGTGATTCTGTCTGTGATACTAATAAACATGAAAAATAAAATCAAACGAGTTGTTTTCTACCAATGGTCCTCTAACATTAAAAATGGGATAAGGAAAATGAAAATAAACTCATGATATAAAAAATGGGCATGCTATTTTTTTTCTTACAAATAAATCGATTTCATTTAAATTTATTTGCAAATAAAGAAAATTATTTTATATATATTAAAATTATCCTCAACTCCTTGAAACCCTAATTTAATGGTAATTTCATGATTTATACCCCAATTTAACCAAATTTTACAAATTATTTTTTCTGAATTTTTTTTTCCGATAGGTTAGCCGTCGTTGATCGCCGGACTTCGGATTATATTATTTTCATTAATATTACTGTCTTAACCTGCAATATTACTGCCTCAAACTGTAATTTTACTGTATTAATTAATTTTATCGTCTTGGCCTGTAATTTTGTTGTCTCCGACCGTAATATTATTGTCTCATGCAGTAATATTACTGTTTGGGACAGTAATATTACTGGCTTAGACAATAATTTGTTGTTAACACAGTAATTTAGAGAGACAAAAAAGGCAGAAATCTGGCCGGAAAAAAAATTCAGAAAAAAAATTGTTTTCATTGAAAAAACTATTTTTCCAAAAAATTATGAAAATGGAAGGTTAATGTGATATATTTGTTCAAATCCGTGGTCATTGTGCAATAATAATCAAGTTAAAGTATAATGGATGGAATTGATGAAAATTAAATTATGAAGTTTTTTTTTTCGGTCCAATTATGAAGTTAAAGACATGGAAATAAGTTTATTTGCGAAACTATTTTTTATCTGGACCAATGTGCATTTAAATTCCTTATTATGTGCTTATTTGTCATCTACGCTTAAATATAACATGAGAAGGTAATGTGTTTTCTTTTTCCTTTCTTTTTTATTTTCTTTAATCAAGAGAAGATAAAGACTGTGAAATCAATTGTGGAGCTTGTTCTCTTATTCTCACTCCGGTGAATGTACTTTGGGTTTCTCAAGGAACGTTTTACGTTGATTATAAATTAAAGGGTAAATTACAAACACCCCCTGAGGTATGGTCAAATTACAAAAACCCCCTCTTGTTTAGATAATTACATCTACCCCCTCAACTATGATTTTTTCTTAGACCTCCACCTTTATGGTGCCAAATTCAACATAGTCATCTAGATTCCGTGAAATGTTCTCTAGTTTGTACTCGTTTTGTGTAAAAAATACAGTTTCTGATGCACCACAAACTGATATATACAAGCTAAAAATCACATATTATGATCATCTTGCTTCATAATGTAGAGTTTGAATGGGATAAAACGGGTACAAAAGTGATAATATTCCATATAATCTCGAAAATTCCACTAAATTTGAGGAGTTGAGATGGGTGCTTGTAATTATCCAAACAAGAGGGGTGTTTTTGTAATTTGACCATACCTCTGGAGGGTGCTTGTAATTTACTCTAAATTAAAACAACTTATCACTACAATAATATAATTATTATGATCGGTAACTACTAAGCCAGGTTTAACCGAACCTTATTTTTAGTGAGTCGGACAGAGTTTGAGTCATTTTATTAAACTCGATTCACTTATGAGTCGAGTTTGAGCATACTATGGTTCAACCCGAATAAGGTCCGCCCGATTAAGTTAAATATTAAATTAATAGGATATTAATTATTTTAGTGGTATGGCTCAACATCTAAAAAAGAGCTATGAGTACATCTAAATTTACTTCTATCCGTTTTATGCTTCTTTATTGTGAACTCTGATGCATTTTTCTCATATAATACTTAAGGATTCAACATTTGCAACTTTAAATTTCATTTGGTTCAAGGATCAGGCTATGGTTTTCATCTTATTTTGTGACTATGATTTTTATCTTATTTTCCTCTTCATGAATATTCTAAATTTTGATGCTCTTCGGTTGCGGAAGTTTTTTTTTTTTTTTTTAACGCGTTCGACTGCAAAGTTATAAAGTAAGTAATTTATATATTGTTCGATATAAGTCCAATATGTACCCGAAACTAGAACATATACAAGTATCGAGCTTGAGCTTATGGTAATGAGGTCCGATAGTATAAGAGCTTGAGCCTATAGTAATGAGATCAAGTGGTATGTGATTGCCCATTTGACTAGGCTTATTTTAAACAGTTGATAACCTCTTACATCTGACAAACTGTTGTAAGTGATCTTTCGATATGGACCGTCCATCACCAACGATCAGATAATCCCAGCCACCCATTCAAATTCGAACCGGTTTCAGAACCGGAACCGAACCGGTCCGGAATAAAATGACCGTTGCAATTTTGTTTTCTTTAACCCGACCGCTGGAAGATGCCACGTGGAATTTAAAAAAAAAAAACTTTTTCTAGAAATTCGACCGTTACAATTTTTAATTTTTATTTTTATTTTTAAAACCGGTTCGGTGGTTCTAACCGCCGGTTTAACCGTCGGTTCTTGGTTCCAAATCCGGGGAACCGTAACCGGACCGGTTTTTCGGTTTTGGTTCCGGTTCCGGTTTATAACCGTTGACCACAATTCGGTTCCGATTAGAACCGTATCAGTGGTCATGTCTAACTACACCAAGCATATTATTAACAGTTGAATGCGACACGAAACTAGTTTAGCTACACTTCAAACCGCTATATCCTAATTTTTAATATAATATAAAAGAAAATTAATAATAATAATAATAATATTAATAATCTTCGAAAACAGTAGCTCAGATAATAACAAAGACAGCCAAAAGTAACCTTTAGAAAGTTCAAAATCTCTGATTAATTCAGATCCTAGACCAATCAATATGTTAAAGAGTAAAGTTTTAAACTAGAGAATTCTTCTGTGCTATTCTCAAGCTCAATCAGTTTCCATTTTCCCCGCTTTACAACCCCGATCGGACGAATTTTCAGTTGCCATATACTTGGCGACGAAAATTCGTTTGCAAGCTGGCAAAATCCAACGGATGATCAAATCTACACGCAGGTCCATACTTGCAGATGCCAAAACGGTGATAGAATGTACACAAGGGCTGATCCTGCAAATTATTATAATGAGGGTCAAAGAAAGTTCTAGAACATCACATGAGATTAAATATATATACACATAGATGTATATATGGTTTGGCGAAGAATATACGAGTATGCCGAAAATTCAAACTTACAGGTCGAAGAGGGAGGCCTTTGTTGTTGACAGGTAACGAGTATGGCTTTGCGTTTGACAAACGACTTTTGGGATGATGAAACTTGCAGTTAGATTTGAATTTGCAGTCTCCGGTTTTTAGGTAGAAATTGCATTCAGGTTCACCTGGGCGTTCGGGGTATTCTTCGACCACCATATTTTGCTGATAGTGATAAGGCGTAGAGAGATTAATCGGTGGATTCTCTACGGCAAAAGCTGGTGGTGCAGGTAAGCCGCTCTCAGATGTTGGATAAGTTGCAGCCTCAAACATGTTAAAAAAACGGGAAAAGAGAGCAGATAAGACAGCAGCAGAATAAGCATTCAGTGCACACACACGCACACTCGTGCGAAAAAGAAATAATATAATATTTTGTCGGACAATTAACTATGCATCGGAATCAGACATCTGTTTTCACATTCAACGTAGTGCATGTATGTTATATAGCATAACATTAAATAGCATTCTTGAAAATAGTTGAACTTGAACCTATCGTTTACCATATAATGAGTTATATACGAGTTCCTGAAATATAGGAGGTATTTAAGTAAGAAATGTACTACTAGCACAACCTTATTTCAAATTCAAAAGTAGGAAAGCCGAAAGATTACATATGCAGATTGAGATAAAACAAGTAACCACTGTTATGCAAGATTGAAGTAATTTGGTATTTTTTACTGAATCAAATTGCTTTTGCTGTCGTACCATTAATTCTCGAAAACTATACACAATCGTGACACATGGTGAAACTTACTAAAAATATCACCCTACTTAGCCAAATTGCACACGATTCACCGTTTACTTATTAATTGATCTAATTTGAAACTTAACTACCACTTGCCTAATATAGAAACAAAAGATTGTGACACAATATAAAGATTAACCGATAAACTTTATCAGAGGCGATAAACTTTTTAATTATTGATTACCTGTATTTCACTAAAAATAGCAAAAAAAAAAAAAAAAAATAGGTGGATGTAAAACACATCATCAAAAAAATATAATTAAGAAAATTATTTCACAAATTTTGGGCAATCTCTTAGGCTTTAATTTAATCGATTATATACCGAGAATATTTTCTTTCTCCCTGAACAAGAAAGAACACATGTATTTTCTTCATTATCCCAAAGCAAAATCACAGCATAGAACGTAAAGTAAAGAACGTAAATGAACAATATCAACAATGATTATCCATACGCTAATGTGAAGAACAATAAATTACCTCATATCCTTCCCACTCTCTATTCGAACTAGCAACGACTTTGGTTGGAGGGGTTACTGATGTAAATGGAGAAGTCGCGTTGAATTCCCTCGGCGAAGACCATGAAGAGACAGATGACGAGGAAACGAGCTTTGATGTAAGAGAGCCACCGTTGCCATATCCAGAAGAAGAGTCAGCTCCAACCACAGCGGAAGGTTCCGGATGGTCAAACCTGCAGTTTGACCCGTATTTGCAGGTCCCGGTGCGCATGTAGTAGAGACATTCTTTTTCTCCCTGTGCAGAACCACCCTTTTAGTATTTAAAAGCTCAATACTCATAGCTTAAATAAATTCCATTCTCACTTTTATAAACGTAAACATAATCCATATACAGTAGAAACTCGATAAATTAATAACCTCGATTAAATAATAGTTTCTCTCGGTCCCGACTCGGAGAAAACGTGTTAAATTATTAACTCGATAATTCAATAATTCACTAAATTAATAGAATTTCCCTAGTCCCGACTTATTAATTTATAGAGGTTTAACTGTATATGCAATTACGAAACTATAAATTACGAAGAGATGTTATACCCTTCGAATTGGAAGTCCCAAGAAGTTGAACTCCTCGGTTTTTTGTGAACCGTGAGAGTAATTACAGTCCCTTCCGTATTTGCACCCCTCCGGCGTCAGGTAATACTGCATTACATAGAATTAATTCGTCGCATCAGATAAAAACATCACATGAAATAGCAATTTTCACTTAAATGGAATATCATCGGAAAACACCACCTATTTTCACACGGCACGTGTAATTATCAAATATATCTATAATAAATATTGGCCATGGGCGCAAACGATAAAACGAAACAATTCGAAGTAAGAACATCCAAATTGCCGCGCGTACTAACTTAAATCATTATTTTACGATGAATTAAAAGGGGCGATCGAATAAACAACAACGATAGTACTAACCTTGCATTCACCCTGCCCTACCCTTTCGAAGTTTTCGTCCCTATGATACTCTCTCTGTTTGATACCCTGCAAATTCAAATCTAATTATTGATAAATGCAATCAACAAAATACGATGATCACGCACAATCCACGTATGCATACAGACCTGATTCATTCTCCTCGGAGGATGATTAAACTTGCAACTCTGCCCAAATTTACAAGACCCAAATTTCATATAAAACGAGCAATCCTCTGCATCAGGCCTCGTCGGATAGTTAATTATCCAACTCCGATTACAACTCGCTAACTCAGTAACTTCTTCCCCAATCTTACTACCTACATTCTCTGCATATTTTCCATCCTTTCCTTCGTTGAGATCATCGATTTTCACCGTTCCAAAATCAACGGCTGGTGATTTCTCATGGCCTGTTTCGATTTCAGCCTGCTCAATAATAAGCTGATAAAATTCTCTCTCAATGGCGTTATGAAATTCCACCTCTTCATCAATGGCGACACTTTCTCCCACCACCGCCACCGCCACCGCCACCGCCATCACCTCCGCCGCTGGAACTTTAAAAATACTGACAGACGAGGGCGATTGGGAAGTGGGGAAGAGAAGACGCTGTAGAAGGGACGATGAGAAACCTAGTTTATAAATTGGAGGGTTGATGGTAGTGAACTAGTGATTCGGCCACGGTGGTCCCTCCACATTCCGGGCCCAGATAAAGGGTTTTGTAAAGTTTTCTAAAAGTTTTTGTAAAGTTTTCTAAAAGTTTTTGTAAAGTTTCCTAATTTTCTTTTGTATTTTATAATTTTATTACTCTAATATTCTATAGATATCTAAAATATTTGGGCAAATTACGGTCTATCCCTGAAATATGGACAAATTACGAAAATTCATCCTTCGACTATATATTATTTTACAAAAAACTCTTATTGTTGGTAAATTCAGGGGTGTGCCATACAGAAATTTTGGTAGGCCAAAATTTCATATCGTTTACCGTTCGGTTCGATAAAATAATAGAATTACTGAAATTTTATTAAAGATATTTAATAATTATTTTTATTTTTTATTTTTGAAAATTAATTTTAGATTAAAATACTAATATTAAATATACAAATATATATAAAATAATTAAAAAAAATTGAATATCGAACCGAATTGTCGGTTCTGTAATCGACATGTACCGAGTTTTCGTTGGGTTCGATTCGATCGGTTTACCGACGGAATGAACACCCCTAGGTAAATTTAACACCGTAAGGTTGGACGTGTAAGATAATACATATTTGAGGGGGTGATTGTTATTACACAAACATGACGGAATATTTTCATAATTTGATCTTACCACTGAGTGGCGTAATTTGCCCAAAATCTTTTAAACTTTATCTAATTCTAAGGGCAAATTCCAATTTCCTGCTTTGTACTATGGATTATGGCCACTTTACAACATTCTACTCTTAATTACATCAATTTATCCACATTGCGCTTGTAAAATAGTCCCATTGTGACCATCGTCGTTAGTTTTCTGACTTTTAAGCTTGACATTGTTTAGTCAAGGCTTGGAAATTACAAAAATGTCCACCCATCTTAGTTGTAAAATCAGCTCTCATCGGGAAACCACTTTGCCTCTCCTTTGTCGTCTACTATAGTTTTTCATGTTGGGGAAGTAAAAACTCCGGCGGTCCTCCCCGCACAAGCATTCTCAACTATATCACATGTGTTTATCTTCCCGTACCTTGCCATTACAACATTGCCAAATATTGACTCCCATTATTTCTCCCAGATCTGCATATGACCCGCCCTCGAAAATCTCATTTTAAATAGTGAAATGGATTGACGGGTCTGGAGCAGAACCAGTTGGTTCTAGAGAATGCAATTTTGGGTAAGTTAACATTGTCCAAAAATAAATAAAAAAATTGAAGTCGATTAGCCTTAATTGACTATCAAAACGTAGTCGATTAACTCAACCAACTATCAAAACCCTAGATCTGCCAACCTTCGCGAATTTCCTCCGCCTGCGTCGTCCTCCACCCTATCTATCCAAAAAAACTCTAGGTTTGGTCCCCATCGTCACCCCACCGTTGCCACACCACACCATCACCATCCCCCTCAAAAACAAATATGGGGCAATTTGCTATAGGTCCTCCTATAAGAAACTTTATGAGTATAAATCTAACTATTAATTCTCTATTTTTATTGCGTCTAAAATACCTTTAATAAAATATGAAAGATAAAAATTCACAAATAATAGTCCACTGTATAGAGGTTTTAATCCTAATATTTTCTCCCAAAAGAACATGTGCAAATCTTGAACATGTGCAAATCTTCAAATCTTAACTACAATTTTAATTTTTTTTCATCTTCTCATAAATGCAAAAGCAGAAAACAACAAAAAATAATGTTCGCTTGTTGTTTGTTTATCGTTCCGTTGCTATTTTGTCGCTTTTTAATTGAAAAAAAAAACCCTAGATTTGTTTGTTTCTTGTTCTTCATCGCCTCGTAATGCCAAATCGGAGAACCTCAGTAGCAAATAACATGTTGCAGAAATGTAAACGTCCGGGTAATTAATTCCTTTTTACTCCTCCCATTTTCTTAAGATGTTTTGATGATGATTTAATGACCTAATGTTGGTATTTTTATTCGGGCAAAAAAAAATTTGATATTGAAGCATCGATCTCAGGTAATTATTCACATATTTTAAAAGTTTCGATTTATATTTTGTATAGTTGTTTACCGTGTTGTTTACATTGTTTGCATTTTTTTTTCTGTCGGTTGTTGTTGTTTATTTGTTGTCGTTTGTGTTGCTATTTGAAATTTGCATTTTACTGTGCATTATTGAACCATCATGTTTTTTTTTTTATTGTTCTGGTGGTTTGCATTTTGTTGTTCTTTGTTTTCTTTATTTTGTTGATGTTCATGTGGCTTGTTATTTTTTTGCAGTTTGCAATTTGTTTGCAATCGAACCATCATGTTCTTGTTTGCAGTTGCTTGTTGCACTTTTAATTTTCTACTTGAAATTTTCTATTTGAAATTTTCTTGTTTGGAGTTCCATGTTTACATATTGAATTCCTTGTTTGTAAGTGCAGTTATTGTTTGTAATTTGCTATTTTTTGTTCTTTTTTGCAATATATTATTTGCAATAGAAAGACTTATTTAGTTTTATATTGTGTGCGCTCAAACAGTTACGTCAAAGAAAAAAAAGAACAAGGCATTAAATGACTCTTCAACGTCTTTTGAAGGGGGGAAAACAAGAATAAATCAGACTGCAAACATAGTGCTTGCAGAGCAAGTTATACAGATCG